GGATGCTCAAAGTCGCCAATTGGAGTTCATGCAAAAACATCCAAATGCAACTTTGGCACGTCGCTGTTTAGACATTGCTTGACGAGAGCAGGTTCCAGGTTGTTCCAGTTTGTTCCAGAGTGACGCTCAATACAACATGTTTTGTATTTTTTTGTTCCAAGTGAGAGGAAACTAAAGGAAGTCTTTTAGGTTGGAGAGGCCATCGCTTCTAGGTTGGAGGCCATCACTCTTAGGTTCTGTTTTCTTGGAAGGAGTAGAAACAGTACATGACTCAAACAGACTTAAGCCTTAATTGAGACTTAAGGTCTGTCATAGCCACAGTCGACGGTTTGTCCACTTAGGTGAAGAGCTTGGGCTTCCCTGTCCCGAACTGGGTCGTGCTTGCAGATGATGATACTTTTATCCACGTAGATGCACTTCTGGACTTCATTGCTGGCCATGATCCCGAAGTTCCTGCCTTGTTTGGATATATTTTGAGCGATGCACATGTCTTGGGCTATGACTATCCATGTGGCGGAGCTGGAATGTTGCTTTCCTTTGCTGCCTATGATGTTTTGGCACCCAGACTCTTAGCTGATTGTCCTTTGCTGGCCTTCAATGACTTGACCCTGGGCTTTTGTGCTCATTCTCAAAGTGTACCCGTGGTGCACCATCCAGGTATGCATTGTGCCCCAGATGTGAATAGGGCCATGCGGACAGGGGAGAACTTGTTGGACATCCAAAAAGGCATCGCTGTACACAGACTCATAGGATTTCAAAGCTTCATAGAGCTTGTTGGCACTCTTGACATGCTCAAGGGTCAAGTTCGAGCATTGCTTCAACGCCGTTGCTTATTGGCAGCTCGCAGCGGTGATGACAGCGAACCATTGGATTCAAGACGTTTCTTTTGGTCAGTAGAAGCCTTTGAGGATGCTGTAAGTGCCTGTCGTGGCCATGCACCAAGAGTTCCAACGGAAAATCCAACAACATCAAACCTCCACTTGGATTTTTTCTTCTTTGGAGGAGGTCTCCCGGTGGCCGGATACCACAAGGATCGAAGTGTTCCTTTGCTAGCAGAGCCCACCTTGAGGGCGGCACGTTGGCCGGAATGGATGGAGCAGCTCAGGCATTTGAAGGATTGCACATTGGAGAGCGAAAGCTTTGAGATGTTCGACGGCGAAAGTCCCCAATGCAAAAGCTTGGGTGAAGCAAAGCGGAGTCACAAGAGTTTGTCTGAAAGGAAAGAAACAGTGAGCTGGAAGGCATCTTGGCGCTCAACGGTGCCACGGCTATCCCGTCTTCAAGTGGAGGCCACAGGCTATGAAGCTTTGGCAGCCAATGCTGAAGTTGATGCGTTGAAGGTGAAAGAATCTTTTGAAGCTTTGGAAGCGAACAGAAGGCCTGAGGAAAAGGAGTCTGAGGACACCAGAAGACACTCGTCTACCAAGTCCTGGCTGGAAGAGTTGAAGAGTTTTGGTAAAAAGTTGAAGGCCTTGAAGTGGAGATCTCCTGGGAGGCGATGGATCTTCGTGGACTTTTCTCCATCCTCCACCTTTCTAAATGTCTTTGAATCTCTTCGGATTCTACGTGGCCTTTCCAATCTCTACCACGATGTGTCTACAAGATCTGTTTACTTGGAAGATGTTCGAGGGCCTGTGGATTTGGGTGCCGAACGCCCACCTCCACTGGCTTTAGCTTATGAATACTTTGATCTCAACGTGGAACAAGCAGCTGGTCTTTGGCTCAATGGAGTGGCACTCCAGCGGATTCTCCGTTGTCGACCACTACAGCATCCCATCAAATTGGATCCAGAAGCTCATGCCAACGATTGGGAGAAAGAAGAGGATCGACTTGCTTTGATGTGGCACAATGCCATTGCAGTGGACATCTTCCGAGCTTTGCGTTTTTGCGGTGTGGTGCTCTTGCACACACCTTCCATGGCCTCCCAGCTATGTTGGATTGTTTGCTTTCAAACGTGTGTTTGTTCATTGGGACTTTTCGCACACTTCCTTCATTAAAGTTTAATTCCAATTCTAATTCTTGTTCCTAATAGCTTCTTGTTACTAGTAGCAAGGCCAGGAGCCCCTAGTGGCGTCCTTGCTCCTAGTAGCGATGCCCTTTGCTCCTAGTAGCTTCATTTTTCTTTTAAATTATCTTAGCTCAAGAAGTTGCATCTTGTGCACCTAATGTCCCATGGTCAATCACGTCGGAGGTTCCTCATGCACTGTCTTACTTGCCGTATTCCACGTACCGGCGATCACATCCTCCGTGGGATGCCCAGAGGACAACGATCAAAGCAAGATACAAGCGCTAGATGCGTCCGATGATGACAGTTGAGCAGTTTCCTGGAGTGTTGATAAGAGTGGGTGAACCTGCCTAAGGAGTTAAATGATCATGATGGTACGCTTTTACCTAATAGCGATGGCCTCCAACCTAGACGTTTAAGGAAACATTAAGTATCACAGATTCTCCGTGGGGTTGTGCCCAATACGAGGTCAGTGGCAACATCAATGTCCATTGGAAACATTGCGTCGCGTACTGGAGCTCAGAAACATTTCAGGCACATACTAGAGTAGTAAGTGTGTTGATAATTTTATAAACCAATAATCCAGACTCTAGACTGCACTCCTCAGAACATAAACTACTTAGACTCTATTTTGGGAACAACGCAAGCGTGTAAAACATTCCCTTTGATATGGAATAGTGAATAGACAGCCCGGATTTCAATTGTAGCATACTTTAGACTCCAATTTACAGCCATATTTCTTGCAAAAGAAGGGGTGAATCAGACATGTTCTAGACTGACCCAAATAAAGCTTCTCATCACACTGATCAGCCGCAGCAAGGGGAAATGCAGAGAAAGGTTTTGGTGGCACGTGACCTTGATGTGCGCAGGTTTTTTTGAGGGTTTGAGTGTTGATCCTTGCAGCCGATCAAGGTGAGCAGATGTGGGCGCTCTCTCAGCTAGCACCGACCCAAGAACCTCACTTTGAGACCCTACTGCTGTGGTAGCTTCCTTGCTCCTAGTAGTAGGGCCAGGAGCCCCTAGTAGCGTCCTTGCTCCTAGTAGTAAGGCCAGGAGCCCCTAGTATTGTCGTGCTGTGGTTTATTTGATAAAACATATGTTTATCAAGGTTACTCGTCGTGCTTGCTCAGCTCAACGCCGCGTGAACAAAGCGTTGCAGATGATGTGCAGGCGCTTTTGCGCGCTCGGACAGAAAACAACATACACATTGTGGGTAGTGAAATCTTAAAGATCTGAGCTTGCTTGTCTCAGACCAATGGCTTCTGCTTGGAAACTACCATTGCACATGCGGATGCTCGGAGGCGCGTTTTGACCTTGTTCTGTTCGTTTTGAGAGTTTTGAGATGGTGTCGCAACATGTGAGCGAAGACCCAGGTGAATCAGCCTACAACTTCAGCCGAGAGAACTGGCGCTTGCCTGGTCGCTTTGACATAGTTGAGAATTTTACATTTGTTTTTTTTAATCAGGGAAGTAGCTGGTCGCTGAACAAGAATTAATACCACGTTTCTAAAAGAACACTAGCTGCGAGAAGCTTCCTTCCTTGCTTCCTGCACTAACCTACTCTCAAGCGTTATTCCTTTTTGCGGACCCCCACTCAAGCTTTCAGCGGCAGAAACAGAGCGAGCAGCTGTGAACACAAAGAGTGAGCAGCTCAGTATGACTTTCAACAGCAGCAAGGTGCTCAAGGTCCCAAACAATCTAGGAACCAAACCATTAGCGTGAGCTACCCTGCGTCTACCTAGAAGATCCTAGAAGCTTAGCCTAGTAACCTAGTAGCTTACTCCCTTACTTGATTAAGTAGGGCGGGGGGGGGAGGTCGGCCAAAAAAGAAGAAAAGGTCCTCGCTCTTTGTGTTTAACAGTATCCACTCCTGCTCAGCTGCGAGGTGCATGCTTCCTGGGGCAGTCACTGGTGGCCTTCCGCTCTGAGCACTTTCTGCCAGATGCTCAAGCCGCAGGCGGAGAACTCGTTCATAGCGAAAGTACAAGGTAAGTCAATCTTCAAGGAGCAAGAAGAAAAGGACAAATGATGAAACAAGACATCTATAAATGAACGGTGTTGAGTTCAAAAGAAGAGATTGAATAAGAGAACAACGCAATTTAAACTATTTTTTCTAGCAGCAAGTTTTGGCAGCCCACCTATCTCTCCCGGCTACTCTCGCATCCCATGTGCATGTTGTTTTTAAACATGTTTGTAGAAGGACATAAAAGTCGAACCTCTTCCTTTTTTGAAGGTTTTTTCTTCCTCCTTCTTCTCATTATTCTTCTGCTTCTTTTCTACTTGAAAGTAAGCCATGACTTGACGTTGCCGGAAAGCTTCAAGTATGATCAGAGTCAAGAAACAGATTTTAATCAATTTAACTAATGTATCATATCAATTCAAATCATCGGTATTTCGAGGGGTGTAGTTGCAGGTGATTTCAGCTGTGTTTGAAGGTCTTGGGAGCATCACGAGCAGTCCTCGAACATAATATGTGGGACATGGAAGCATCAACTTTGTCATGTTGGCGATTGGCGGAGAAGCGAAGAGATTAACATTGATCAGTCCTGAAATGCGAAGAAGATAAGTCTTGTCGGCTTGATCCTGGAGGGATGCGAAGAGAACATTTCCAGTTCCAACATCGCCAGCGTCCGACTCGAGATCTCAAGGTCGTGTGCTCTTCTGAGTTCAGCATATCATGTGTGCACGTCCACGGCACCACTTGCCTGATCGAGAGTGGTTTCACAGAGGCAACGGCAACAGCCACACTTTCGTCCATAGCTGGCCACAAGGCTCTGTGCCGACAGAAGCGCCAAGTGTTGAAAAGGCAGGGAATTTAGCAGTGGCACAAGCTACCACCTTGCTGGTGTGCGATACAAAGGGAATATGTTTGATGCTTGGGCCTGCCATCCTGATATTTGATATAACATGATATAACAAGGTGCTGCCAAGTCAAAGCAAGAAACAATCAACAACATCCGTCAGGCGGCTCATGGGTGTGCCACGTTGCCGTTTTGAAGTCAAGAGAGCAGCCGTCGCCTAGCTGGCACCTGTCTAGCACCATGGGCTCGTCTTCGTCAGCTCCAGGCGGCCCTCCCGGGCAACTTTCAGCAGCTTGGCCTCCAACCTACTAGCTTGAGATATGGCCAATAAATTGAAAGAGAAGAGATATCTTGGGCACTTCATAGAATTGGGCAGAGATATCTTGTGATGGTCGAAGCCGGGATTGTGTGCATGGGATGGGTCGCAACAATGTTCAAACCCCAAAGAAGTGTTTAGTCTAAAGAAACAAAGGGCTTGGTACAAAACAGAGAAAGAAAGAAAGAGGTATAGACGAACCTCCGGGTAACCTCCTTTTTGAGCTAGCAGTCTGTATTGCGCAATGCCTAATGTACAAGAGCGTCGCCCCTTCTGGGTGCCCTAAATTTGCACCGGAAGCGATGATCGTATGATTCCAACATAAGTAATGCCCTTTGTTACTAGTAGCGATGCCCTTGTTACTAGTGGCAATGCTAGGAGCTACTAGTAGCGTCCTTGCTCCTAGTTGCGATGCCCTTACTGTAGTAGTTCACGCCTTTAACAGCTCCTCTTTGTGGTTTCCTCTACCCGATATTGCTTTATTAAGAAATGCTATTTGGCTACATGGTACGCCACATTCACCCTCTCAGTGACAAGGCCAAGACTTTTCTTGTAAAGAACATAGTTTACACTTCTTCGCATACTTCCTGTGATGGTCCACATAATTCGAGTACTGTGGGAAAGCTTGGGCAGTCGCACAGCATTCCCTTAATAATTTACAGCTCCTTTGAGCAAACAGGTTTGCGAATTGGAAGAAATTACCAAGCCGCTAAGTGGTTGCCCAGAATGGCGCTATAGTGCTCCGGTCAACTTAGTTCACCTTTCCACTAGTCACATCCAATATACTTCCAATCATGCTGTCACATGCCTATGAGGACTCAATGTTGAAATTTCTATTAAAAGTAAAGTGCAATCGCCTGATACCGCTATACAAACCAATGATTGTGGTCTCTTTTTTGCTTAAGGATATTGACAATTTCCTTTTAGATCGACTCTGGCCCGTCGCCGCCTCACCGAGCAGCTTCTCATGTTATCCCAACCGAACAGTCCCTCATAGCGATGTCCTCCGCCCTAAGAGCGATGGCCTCCATCTTAAGAAAGACTCGTTCTGTTTGGTGGTGACCCGGTGGTGCTTGTGGATAGAGCTACCCGACCTGACTCGTCTCGAATTCTGTGTCTTTGTGTCTCGCTCAGGATACCGCCAAGGATATCGGAATGCAAGTTGGAGCATCTTTCAAGGCCCCCAAAAGCCGCGCGGTTTTCAAATCCTTTCAGTTTTTGACTGCATTCAGCTGCGCCGGTTTTTACACCAATTGCTGGCACGCCACTCTTGGATCGTGTTGAGCATTAGCTGCCACATGCTACCAGTAGCGGTAGCCAGGCTACCGTAGCCTGTCCCCCAGGAGGCCAAGATGAAATCGGATGGGTGCTTCAGCTGTTCGGGAAGGCCAAAGACTTTCGTGAAGCCACTCTGCTGAGCCAGGCCGTTTTGCGTAGCTTCTTTGTAGACCATGTCTTCTTTATCTTTCTTCCCGTTTCTTCCTTTTTCTCTCTTTTCTGACGTTTTGCTTTCAGTTATTCTTTCCTTTCTTTTTCTACTTGTTTTTCGACCAGGTTTTGGGCCTTTCTTTCTTATTGAAAAGAGCCTTAATTGTTTTCCATATAATTACATAGTTCAGACCGTTCGCCGTTCGCCCAAGGAGTGTGACCATCAACGAGAGGGAATATGTAGGACCCTTTTACGACTACTCACAGCGGCATTCCACCACGGTGGATCTGGAGCATGAGAGGGACAAACGCCTCTTGGAATAATGAGAGACAGGCATCACACCTGGTTGGGACTTACTTGTTTTTGTTGCTGGCAGTTTTTGCCCAAGGATACAACCACATTTGGTACCGCACTCAAACGGAATATTGTGGCTGCTGCTGGGTTTGAGGCGGGCTTCTTTGGGAAGTCAGATTGCCAATAATCACAAGATTTCGCGGGTCTTTCTAGACAGGATTTTGATGCATTTGCGTGCTTTGTATCCTGGCCACTGCGCCACCAGAGGTATTGCAGGCCTTGGCAAACCATGAGCACTGCAGCAACGGGCATGCTTCCAGAAGCTCAGCTTGGCCAGAAGCGCACATTGACCAAAGAAGAGTGGAACCTATACAGGGGATAGTGTAATTAATATAAACTAACATGATGATGCCATAGTGTGACAAAGTCATGAAATTCTTTTAACGCTTCGTTGCCATAGTGCTTCAGATCTACCTTCAGAATCACAAAGCGAAGACGCAAAGAGGCTCAGGCCAAGGTGGTTCGTGAAGACCGCCGAGGCTTGCCACTGGGGCTGTCAAAGATATGCCCCGCACCAGACCTGCCATGGCAGCGAACGCAAAACACGATGCAAAGCAGGAACGTATTTCGTTGAATTTGTTGACATAGTTTTAAGATGTTTTAAGTCTGTCCATCTCTGGAGACTTTTCTCGTTTGTTTTTGCTCGAAGTTGCCACTTGCACGGCTAAGTTTCACTGACGCCTAGCAAAGAAGCGCCGGACCTTTCGTTGGAGGGGTGAACTCCTTATTTCTGCGGCAGGTCTCAAGGCGGAAAGCATCTCAAGCTGCGGCAAAAAGAGATTGACCACAGTGGCCAAAGAGAACAAGAAAACACAAACGAATAAGAATCTGTGTTCTCTTCTTTTCCCTTTAGACCTTTCTTCCTTGTTTTTTGTTCTTCATTTTTCTTGTGTGTTTTCTTTTATGGTGTCTTATTTCAAAAGAGATTGCGCACAGTGGCCAAGAGGGCAAGATTGAGCAAGTTTCATGTTTTCAGCTGTTTGAGATCAATGAAAAGATGTGACAAATGACAAATGATGCTAGATGGAGCAAGATGGTAAAACAGAGTGAAGCATTGGATCACCTGATTTGCACATGTGCAGTCCGCTCAGTCATCAGACAATTGTCCAGTCAGCTTCTTTTGGACTGTCTCTCGTTTGTGCAGATGGATAACGCACCTGACAAAGAGGCGCTGCCAGAGGCATGCCGAATGAGATGGAAGAAGGCTTGAATGCCGGCAATTTGCAAATTCAGACGGGAACTACTTGTGCCACTATACTATGTTTCACTCACATTCGAAGCTGCAGCTGTTGATAATCTGCGCAGGCTCGTGGTTATCCAATGTCGGACGAAGCAAGGCAGGGCAAAGCTGGAAAAGTCGATCGAGCTACAGACAATAAGGATTGGCGAATTTCGTGATCCCAAAGTAGATCGTCCAATCCTTGGGCAACAAGTGCCTTACTAGTAGTAACAGGTGCCTTACTAGTAGTAACAA